ACGCCTCTCACGAACGCATACACATGTGTGCAAAAATGCGTAATTGTACACAACGAATTTTCCAACGCTCAAGTTAAGAACCGACTCATTCACGTTGGCGCTCGGGTATTAAGTGCTATATAATTTTGTCAACTACACTATGCACTCGTAGGTGCCACAGTGTCACAATGCAAATAATGTATATCTAAATGGTGATGGATATCTGAACATCACCCTCATTCAGGTGTACATGATCAGGGGTTAGCAGATGACCTCCCTGCTGAAGGTTACATCCTCAATTTAAATCTATCAGTATTTTTTTTTCAAGGTTAAGGATGGGGAAGGCGTGCTGGGGCTCAAGACACAGCCAGTCATGAAGGATGGGAAAGCCACGATGGATAGTCGTGGGGAGAAAGTAAAATGAAGTTTAATGCAGTGGAGAGAGAGGTCGGACGGCAGCCTTAGTTGATAAATTTAAGATGATTGAAAAAGTTACGATAATTATCAAGTTAATTCTTAGTCTAAGGAGGATCGCTATAAAGGACATATACGGGTGGGGAAGGGGGGAGGCAGGTCCCAGGTGCGTGGTCGTTCTCTGACAATGTCTTCCTCATAGGTAGTCGGGGCTGTGAAGGTCATCCAGGAACTTGTCCCAATCCTTCTTAGCCAGGCGATGGAATCTAACGTCGAGGGCCTCTGTCCAGTTGTGCTGGTGGATGGTGGCCACAGTCTCGTTGTAAGGCGGCGCCTGGCCGGTAGCGAGCACCCAGACACTTAATTTGATAACTCTAACTCTGGAGCTTTTGAAGACTTGTCTTGCTGAGCGTAACGAGAGGGGCGTGTGGATACTCCACCACAGGTCACACTAATGTCTTGTACAGGTGAACTTTGATTCGCTCTGGGAGGAGTTTGAAGTGTTTCAGCTTGGCAGGGACGACCTTAGCCTTCTTCAGTCTGTCCCTGGCGTGAGTTGTGATGCCCCTCCGTGTGATGGTGAGGCCGAGCAGCCAGCCTTGTTTGGAGTAATTAATCTGTTCGTCATTAACCACCAGGCGAGCTGGCTTGAACTTGGCAATGGGAATCACCTCGAACTTAGTTTTGTTGGTCTTAATCTTCCATTTACGCTCATAATCTCAGATAATGTTTATCGCTCGGACAGTCAGACAAGCCATCCTGTCGGTGGATCGGCCATGGTGTGTACGTCATCGGCGTACATGACATACTCGTTGTTAAGTGATGGGGGTGACATGTCGGCTGTGTAGAGGGTCGGCGATAGATATGAACACTGAGGAACACCCCTTGTAAAGGAAACATTCCAGACCTGCACCTCGGCGAGGAAAAATTTTCTCTGCTCCTGGGGTACTTTGTGATCCTGACGCTGAATGCAAAGCTGTCCTGTGACCAGGCGAAGGTCATGAGACTGTATCCAGTCGAAAGCCCTTCACCTAAGCAACTTAACCTCCTTGTTTTAAGGAAGTTTTTTTACTCCTTAGGAATCAGGGAGGTAACAAGGGCCGTCCGCAGACCAGTGAATGGTGGCCTTACGGTCACATTCGCGGAGTGGGGACAGGCCCAGCAAGTATCAAACACAAGAGAAATTAACAGGATTAAGAGTCAAATGGAAACCTATACGGAGGAAAACTTGGTGTTGGAAGTAATCTTCAACACCGAGATAGACCATCTTGAGAAAGAAGTGCTGGCAGAGCTGATCGGAGACCAGCTCACAATAGTACGGAAGTTGAAGCTGACCAGCATAGCGGGACTGGTCGGTTATCCAAAGAATCTACCAAACGCCATGCTGCTGGGATGGGAGAAAATCTCAGTAAGACCATATGAAAAAAGACCAGCAAGGTGCTATAATTCTATAAATACCAAGGTATGTCCATCTGGCAGGGAAGTGACGAGCTCGGGAGGTCTGTGCCACTTGCGGGACACCCGGGCACTAACACATCAAGTGCTTGGCGGCCGACAAGAAATGTGCAACTTGCGGTGGCCCTCACTCCTCCTCCGATCGGGAGTGTCCCAAGCGGAGGGAGGTGTGTAGGGTGGCTAAATCTCGATACAATAAACAACTGAGTTACAAGGAGGCTCTCCTTGTAGTGAAGACAAGAAAAGAAGACTCAAGAACCAAACAAGACAGCAAAAACGGAACCAGAACCAAACAAAACCGAAGAAAAGAAAATCAAGAAAGAACAAAAAGAACCAGCTACAGTAACGGTAAGATTTTCAGAGTTTTTCGACTTAAACGAGTATACTGTATACCAGAACAAGACCAGGAAGAAAAATGAGGAGTGAAAAAGTAACGTAAAGTAAGGGAAACTCCTCACCACAGTGGTGCTACAACTTGATTTCAGTTCTTCACTTGGTGAGGAAGTTACTTTGGTAGGTCCAGGTTTAATGATTTTATGTTTCTTTTACTTTTATCCTCTTCGCCACTGATCGGCTCGTTAGCCGTTTGGGCGGTCGGTCACGTCTCTGTTACGCACTGTTGGCAAGTACTGGGCATGCACCGGCTCCTGAATGTATCTGAACTTGCTCTAGTGCTGGTCAAGTCTGGTCTTGAAAGACTCACACTCGGTGCCGTCACAACACCCTCTGGAAGGTTGTTACAAAAGTTCACAACTCTCACTACGAAAAAGAGTTAGCTATCACAGTTTCCTGGATATGTGGCTTTTTCAACCTTGAGCTGTAATCCCAAGTGGGGCGAACGTCCACCAGCTCCAGGTATGGATACTCGACTGAGTAGTGCCCTTTGAAATGTTTATACACCTCAGTTAGCCCCCCCCCCCCACCTTGCCCGTCTGTAGTGTAGTATAAGCTAGGCAGTTGCAGGCGCTCTAATCTTTCAGGGTAGCTTAGGTGTCGTAGTGCAGGCACAAGTCTGGTGGCCCTCCTTTGGACATTTCCAATCAACTGACAGTCCCTAGCATATCTCGGTGACCAGACGGGGTGGTAATACTCCAGGTGGGGAAGCACCTCAATCCTAATAATTTAGTTGATTGATTCACCTTCTTCTCACAATGACCCGAGAACTTCAGCTCATTGTGAACATACACACCCAGGTCCTTTTCAAAGTCATTCTCTATTAATGCAGTTTCTTCGTCCCGTTGAGACATATAATACGCCTCCTTGCCGTTGGTACGTTCAAGGTGTAGCCTCTTATACTTCGTGACATTGAATCTTAGCAGCCATTCCTTCGACCATTCTTGAAGCCCACAGAGATCTTTCTGCAGCTTTTCTCAGTCTGCTTTGTTCCTAAATTCCCTAAATAACTTGGCGTCGTCAGCAAACATTTGTATGGAGGAATGTATAACTTGTGGCATGTCATTTATGAAACAAACAATCAACAACGGGCCCAATAGACTGCCCTGTGGTACTAGCGAGGTCATCCTAAAAATGTATCTTGCGCTTGTGAGACCACACCTGGATTACGCAGTTCAGTTCTGGCCACCGTATTACAGAATGGATATAGAATCGTTGGAAAGAATTCAGAGGAGAATGACAAGACTAATCCCGGGCATTAGGAACCTTGAGTATAGAGACAGGTTAAATTATCTTAATTTGCACTCCCTCGAGAGACGTAGAGCGAGGGGCGACCTGATAGAGGTGTATAAATGGAAGTCAGAGCTAAACAAAGGGGACATTACAAAGGTACTCAAACTATCCAACCAGGAGCGAACTCGTAATAATGGTTTTAAATTAGACAAATTTAGATTTAGGCGCGAAATAGGTTAACACTGGTTTGGAAACAGAGTAGTGGATGAATGGAACAAGTTACCAAATATCATCATTAACTCGAATACGCTGAATAGCTTCAAGCATAGGTTGGATGCTTATATGAGCAATAGAGGTTGGGTGTAAACGGGACTGCCCAGTATGGGCCAACAGGCCCGCTGCAGTTTCCTCCATTCTTGTGTTCTTATAGGTACACATAACGATTTCGTACCATTAACCACACACTGCTTGCGATCATGCAGAAAGTCTCTGGTCCATGCTTGGACACTTCCCCGATTCCCGTACCCTTCCAGTTTAATTTTTAGCCTTTCATGGGGTACGCTGTCGAAAGCCTTGGCAAAATCTAGGTATATAGGGTGTCCCAGAAAAATGTCCCTCCAACAGTGTCTCAGAGAGCAGGTAGGCAATATATTGTCGATATTGCTTCTCTGTTCCAGAATTTGAGTCCAAACATCTAGTACCTTGAGTAATTGTGTTAAGCAGGAGCGCCCCGGCATAAAACAGTGTTGGCAATCCTTTACAAGGTTGTTTCGTAGTAGATGTTCCATCATGGCATCTCTAATAATGCTCTCAAGTACTTTAAATACAATGCTGGTCAGACTCACAGGTCTATGGTTATTCGTGGAGTGACGATCGCTCTTCTTGAAAATAGGACTCACATTAGCCATTTTCCAATCACTGGGGACCTTTTGCTCATCCAGGCATCTACAGAACATGATCTTCAGGGGCTCAGCAAGCTCGTTGCATAGCTCTCTTCGCACTCTGGGATGCACCATGTCAGGGCTGGGACTCTTATGAACCTTTAACTTTGATAATTTATTTCTTATAACCTCTTCTGAGAACACAGTGTGGGTCAGCGTTGTGTCAAACCGTCTGTCTTCAAGCGCACGGGGATTGTTCGTACCCTCTCTTGTGAACACCGAGGAAACGTGAAGAAGTTTGAGATGAGTGCAACAAAATCACAAAGCACAAATATTCATGGCTGCTCCTGGTTATTTTGTTCAGTATGTGGCTGCGTATGTCGACCACAGTGTCAGACCACTGGACTGCTTTAGCCAGACCCAATGAACGTTGTTTAACTTCGCTGATCGGTGATCGGACAAGAAACTGTTTTTTCAATGTGTTTCATTTTAAATTAAAACTTGAGGTTTACAGTGACGATTACATGGAAATAAAAGTTTTTATATCCTTACTGTTGTAATACTCTCACATTTTAGAATAATATTGAAACTGTGTTTGCACTTTATCGTGATGTGCATCAGAGAGAGTTCGTTTTTGGCGCTCCGCCCTCTTCTACGAAAATGGCCGCTCCCCTGCCTGGCTACACACTTCCCATTTTCTATGAATCATTGCTGGCGGGGATTAGTGCAGACGACACGAGGCAGTCAGCAGGTACAGAAACCGCCAACACCAGCCAGCCGCCGTCTCCAGTCTCCACCCCTGCCACCAGTCCACCGCCTCCCGCCACACCGTCAAGAAGTGTTAGGATGTCTACCGCTGGACTTAAGGTAAGACACCTATGTCAAAAAATAAATTATTAAAACTGAAAAATAATGTTTAAAGGAGTACATTTTTCAAAAGAGGAAAATTAATTTCAATTGAATTTTTTTTATCACAAGGACTAATAACCGGTCTAATGATTTTTTTTTATAATGCCTAACTGCGCATCAACACTTAGTGTGTTTAAGCAATTACTGTAAGTTAGATATTACACGTAACATCAACTTTTAAAAATCAAGGTCCCATATTCCTGGCTAATAGTTATGAGTGTATAATGTGTACCGTACCAACACAGTGCAGTAATGTATATCACTTATGCTGCAGTAGTACACAAGAAACAATCAAACCTAATCTATAGCCATACAATCAACTGCTTGCGATTTTATGTATATTATTTTACTTTTTTACTTTTACTGATACGGGAGAGGAGGAACACCGGGAACGATTCGAGTATAGGAACAATATAATAGTGTTTGGAGTCCCCAGAGTCAGTCGGAGGAGGCTGAGGTAAGGCTCTGAACCTGTCAGCTCCCCCCTCATGAATTAAGGAGGCAAGTTCAGACGCAGAAGCCCCATTATTGTGATTTGCTTTATAAGTTATTAACAGACAAGATTTTCCCTTCTTCCATTACCAAACATGTGTCTGTAGAAAGGTCGCGTTCCACAGTGAACGCTGTAGAACAAAGTCGTTTTCTACAAGTACTTAACTTTTATCCTCTTCACCACTGATGGCTCGTTAACCGCTTGGGCACGTCTCTGATACGCACTGTTGGCAGGTACTGGGCATGAACTGGCTCCTGAACGTATGTGTACGTGTACCATCGCCAGTGTTGGTCAAGTCCGGTCATTTTACTCTTATTACTTTTATCCTCTTCGCCACTGAGATATCTGTAGGGGTCGTGCTCCACAGTGATATCTGTAGGGGTCGTGCTCCACAGTGATATCTGTAGGGGTCGTGCTCCACAGTGATATCTGTAGGGGTCGTGCTCCACAGTGATATCTGTAGGGGTCGTGCTCCACAGTGATATCTGTAGGGGTCGTGTGATGTCTGTAGGGGTCGTGCCCTGTAGGGGTCGTGCTCCTGATATCTGTAGTACAGTGATATCTGTAGGGTCGTGCTCCACGCTGTAGGGGTCGTGCTCCACGGTGATATCTGTAGGGTCGTGCTCCACAGTGATATCTGTAGGGGTCGTGCTCCACAGTGATATCTGTAGGGGTGCACAGTGATATCTGTGGGTCGTGCTCCACGGTGATATCTGTAGGGTCGTGCTCCACAGTGATATCTGTGGGTCGTGCTCCACAGTGATATCTGTAGGGTGCGTGCTCCCACGGTGATATCTGTAGGGTCGTGCTCCACGGTGATATCTGTAGGGGTCCGTGATATCTGTAGGGTCGTGCTCCACAGTGATATCTGTAGGGGTCGTGCTCCACAGTGATATATGTAGGGTCGTGCTCCACAGTGATATCTGTAGGGGTCAGCTCACAGTGATATCTGTAGGGGTCGTGCTCCACAGTGATATCTGTAGGGTCGTGCTCCACAGTGATATCTGTAGGGTCGTGCTCCAGGGTCACGTGATATCTGATATCTGTAGGGTCGTGCTCCACAAGTGTGATATCTGTAGGGTCGTGCTCCACAGTGATATCTGTAGGGTCGTGCTCCACAGTGATATCTGTAGGGTCGTGCTCCACGGCGATATCTGTAGGGTCGTGCTCCACGGTGATATCTGTAGGGTCGTGCTCCACAGTGATATCTGTAGGGGTCGTGCTCCAGTGATATCTGTAGTCGTATATCTGTAGGGGTCGTGCTCCACGGTGATATCTGTAGGGGTCGTGCTCCACAGTGATATCTGTAGGGGTCGTGCTCCACAGTGATATCTGTAGGGGTCGTGCTCCACGGTGATCTCTGTAGGGGTCGTGCTCCACAATTATCTCTAGACGACGCCGTGTTTTACAATTAACTGTAGAAAGGGTCGTGCTCCAAAATTCTATAGAAGGGGAAGTGTATCACAATAAACTTTGTGGAAATGGTAGTATTCGATAATTATCTGTAGAAAGGAGTCGTGCTTCACCATTATCAGTAGAAGGTGGGGCATGCTTCACAATGAACTGTGTAGAAAGGGTCGTGCTCCACAATTTTCTGTAAAAGGGGTCGTGCTCCACAATTGTCTGCCAAGAGGTCGTGCTCCATATCTATCTGTAGAATGGGTCGAGCTCCACAAGTAACACTGTAGAAGGGGTCGTGTTCCATGGAGAAAGGGGGATAGTGCTGTACAACTAAGACTGTAGAAGGTGGCGTCGAATTCCACAGGTAACGCTGTAGAAGGGGGTCGTGCTTTACAGGTAACAATAAAGGGGGGTTGTTCTCCGGAGAATTGTTAAGGAAGTCCAAGTAGATTTTTTAGAGAATTTTCAAGCAAGAAAACTACGGGAGATTTTTTTAACATAATACAGCAGTGATTGTGTTATGGTCTCCCAGGATTGCTGTTATTTAATGTAGACTACTGCTAGTTTTCGGGATTGATGTTATTTACTGTAGACTAGTTGTATCCGGGATTTGTTATGGGTTTCAGTTGTACAAGTATCAAGTAGGAGCGTTATACAAGCATCTAATAAGCACATTGTCCTTGGTCGTAATGGAGTCATAATTATATGTTGTAACCTAGGCGGAGAGTCCTGACAATAATACGAGAAGAAAGCCTAAATGGCAACTAATTCTAATTTAATATTTGGTTCATCCTCCGTGACTTTCTCTGACAACAGCCTACTTGTCACAGATTCCACAGTTATAAATTGTGTTCTTCCAGGGAACATCTGTTTTTGTCACTTTTCTTTTCTTTTTCTTGGGCGGGGGAGGAGGGAGTTGTCAGGCCTTGGGTGACGTAGACATTACTGTACTGTGCTAATTGGTTGAGGTTCCATGTCTATTTAAAGGTATCTCTCCTGTGCTCGTGTCAACCACATTTCTCAGCATCTGTCTAAACTGTTTGTTCGCCTGTCACTCCCTCTTTCCTCTCCAGTTTGTCTTTGCATTTGTCTCTAATTGATCTCTCACCCCATCCTGGAGATTGTGTTACGTTAATCCTAATTTTTACATTATCAGTTTGTATCGCTGTGGGTGTGTGTGAGTGAGTGTGTGTGTGTGTGTGTGTGTGTGTGTGTGTGTGTGTGTGTGTGTGTGTATGGTTTCCTGTGAGTTCTTGAATCCTTCCTGTATTAGTTGCTGGAGTTCTGTAATTTGTTGCTTTAGTTTATCTTGTTCTTTATATAACTTATCTATCTTGGAATCATGAACCTCTGCAGTCGTATTTAATTCATTAAATTGTTTCATACATTATTTGCAAAGACACATGCCATGCTTGTTGTCCGTAACTGAGCTGCGTTTGGGTACTTTAAAATAGATCCTCAGGCAGTCTTAAGCATCTACCTTATGCGTAACTGACTTATTACAACGAGTTGTGGTCGGCTTTTTTTTTTTGCCCGTTGAACGATTTGGTCTTTGCGTCTAACAAATATTGTAAATATCGATGTAAGTATTCTAGCTAGACAAACGGCCCTATCAGAGAGGTCTAGGACAGTCGCTGTTCTGCTCCCCTAACACCACAAACGCTCACGGCACCGGCCAGGATCAGTCACCTATAAAATTATATGTATTGTACAAACGAGGTACAGTCTCGCCCAAAAGTTCGTTAACCTCTCAGCCAGCTATTGCTGCACTGCCTGCTTCAGATGTTTGAAACTGTCTCAGTACCAACCAGAACATGAAACCGATACGAATGAATCTAAAGATTCGAAGTAACAGACTCAAGTTCATACATCTGAAGCAAGCAGTGCAGCAATAGCTGGCTGAGAGGTTAACGAACTTTTGGGCGAGACTGTTAAGAAGAAAACCCAGAAATTCAAGACTTGGGTTGGGTCAAACGATGAGCAGGACAGGAGGATATATGCAAGAGTCAGAAACCAAGCAAAGATGGAGTGTAGAAGGACTGTAAAGGAGTTCCAGAGGCTGGTTGCAAGCGGGGTCAAGTCAAACCCAAAGGCGTTTTACCGCTATGCAAAATCGAAATTAAAAACACGAGTAGGAGTATTAGACCTGAGGCTTGAAGACAGTAGTTACGCAGATTCTGACCAGGATAAAACTGAGGCATTGAACAGCTTCTTTTCCTCGGTGTTCACAAGAGAGGATGCATTTAACCTTCCTGCATTTGAAGACAGACGGTTCGACACAGCACTGACCCACATTGTGTTCACAGAAGAGGGTATTGGAAATAAACTGTCCAGGCTAAAGGTCCATAAGAGTCCCGGCCCTGACATGGTGCATCCTAGAGTGTTAAGAGAGTTGTGTAACGAGCTTGCTGAGCCCCTGAAGATCCTGTTTTGTAAATGCCTGGATGGACAAAAGATCCCCAGTGAATGGAAAGTGGCTTATGTGAGTCCTATCTTCAAGAAGGGCGATCGTCACTCCACGAACAACAATAGACCGGTGAGCCTGACCAGCATAATTTGTAAAGTAATTGAGAGTATTATCAGAGATGCTGCAATGGAACATCTACTACAAAACAACCTTGTAAAGGATTGCCAACACGGTTTTATGCTGGGGCGCTCCAGCTTAACACAATTGCTCAAGGTATTGGATATTTGGACCCATATTCTGGAACAGGGTGGTAATATCGATAATATTTACCTAGATTTTGCCAAGGCTTTCGACAGTGTTCACCACGAAAGGCTGAAAATCAAACTGGAATGGTACGTAATTCGGGGAAATGTCCTAGCCTGGATAGAAGACTTTCTACATGACCACAAGCAGTGTGTGGTGATTAATGGCACGAAATCATCATCCGTACCTGTCACAAGCGGGGTACCACAGGGCAGTGTATTGGGCCCGCTGTTGTTTATTTCATAAATGACATGCCTGACGTTGTACACTCCTCCATACAAATGTTTGCCGATGACGCCAAGTTATTTCGGAAAATCAAGAACCAAGAGGACTGTGAAGATCTGCAGAAGGATC